ACGTAATTCAACCAAAAACAAATTTCTTTAATCTTTTCCTGGGATTTATAGCTAAACCAGCACCAGAAATTAAAAAAAGAAATTATGGATCCGATTCTCTGGCACGTGAAAAATGTAATCTGTAATGAAAATGAAAGGCTCAATAAATACATCTGGAACTGGTGGGCATATTTAATACAAAACCAGAAAATAAACCTCGTTCAATCTGTGTATTAAAGTCTACTCTTCAACAATGCGGAAAAAAATATTAGCATTGATTTTGGCTTTGCCGTGGCGTGGATTGGCTACGCCACCGCCATAGCCCTTACGCGTTCGTTGTGCGTTCGTCGTCGGTCGGTCGTGTTTGCGTATTGGTTATAAAGTCTTAGGACCAAAGCTCTATTATGCAACATCCGATCTAGGGAAAATTCTTGGAAAATTCAACAGTCTTATTCAAGGTAAAAAGTTAGTAGTTATGAATGAGACCAATATGTCTAGTGGGAAATGGCATAAATTCAATGGCCATCTCAAATCCCTTATAACGGATCCAAAAGTGTCTATAGAACGTAAAGGTATTGAACCTATTCATTTAAAAGATTACTCTGCATTTATGGTCACAAGCAATCAGGATGCCCCACTTAAAATAGTACTAGTATAAAAATCATCTATAGAAAACTCAAAACCAAATCACTCACTGACAAGACAGTCTGATATATATTATATTATAGCAGTACTACAAGCAATCATCAAGTATAGAACTCAAGGTATACTTTTCAATAAAGAAACTGCTAACCTGATCGATTAACAAGTTAGAGGGGCAATAAATTTCAAACCCCACTAGTACTAGAGCCAAAGCCTTGCATTATCAACCACACACCCTCCAGATTTCTATACTATATACCAAGAGTCACGGACTTACTACCAAATTAATGACGTTTTTTCTTATTTTTCTTATTTTTCTTATTTTTCTTCTTCTTTGCATTGTGCTTTTCTGGTAAACCTTAAAGAAAAGAATACAGTTATAAAAGGAATAACATCCAAGCAAAAATACATACACATACGTTCACCAAGCCCAATTACAGTTCCATCCTCCAATACATAAGTGTTTTTTTCTAGTAAAGCTGAAAGAAAATATATTTATAAAAAATTAAAATATAAACAAAAATACATATACACACGTTTTTCGAACTCAAATAGAGTTCCATCATCCAATATGTGCCATGGCACCTCGAAATCAGCTTTATTTGTCATCCTTTCGAAATAATCACCATTAAACCATAGTATGTTATTATTATTGTCCAAATCAAACACGCGACCGTAGCAGTCTAGGAAAGCATTCCACAGTAACGTTGCCCAATGATAATGATATGATTGAAACCATATCCTCTAACTTCATCAATATAACCGAAAAGATGTTCTTTCACATAACGTATAACATCTTGAGGAGTTTCAATATGGAGGTCAAGGCCAAGAGAAGTTGCAATATGAGAACAATTGGATGGGTCCACAATGTCGACTACAACGAGTGGATTATTGCACGATGAGCCAGTGACTTTATCACCAACTGACACTTGACACAGGGAGGCACCATTTGCATGATTTTCAGGTTGAGTGTCTGGGAATATAAGACAGCACGGCGTCTTTGGGGTTTCCTTTGTCCATGCAGAGTTGCAAAAGGCACCAACTCGGAGCAATTGCCCCAGACATGTCTGCAATTTCTGAATTCCTGGTTGGTTGGGACATTCGAAAACAATTTCGGCATCATGTTCACTCTTCTTTCTGCTATCTCTTTGTTGATCGCTTCCATCTCTCTTCTGACGACGTTCAGCGATCCTGTCCCACACCGAATCGAGGCGCCAAAGAGGTATCTTAGAATCTTTCCTCTCCGTTTCGAAATTGTGAAATTCACTGTTGTTGGGCGGGCTAGCACATCCTCCTCCATCTTGAAAATCTTCTGGGTGAGAAGGTCCAACATTTTCATCAAATATGTCATCTGGTTTTGCAATCCCATTCTCGGAGGGGAACTTATATGGTATGTCCAGAGTGTAACCACCACAACAACGAATACTTGCTTCCTTTGGCTCCATATTCATTTTTTTATGACTTCTCGATAATGTGCTTGGGTTTTTTTCACGCGACATTTAATGTGTAACAATGTGATCACCTCCAATCAGAAATAATTGACTGTTATGCTAAGAAAAATTTCACCTTCTCTTTGCTGGGGAGCATGGAATCGGCTGTTACAACATTCACGAGCTACCGTTTCCACTTGGTGACGCCCTCGTGCGTGCAACCCTTCTCCTCTTGGCGAAGCTGGTTGGTGACGTCTTTTCTTTGGGAGTATGGATTTGGTTGTTCACAACACCCATGAGCTACCGTTTCCATTTGGTGACGCCCTTGTGTGTGCAACCCTTCTCCTCTTGGCGAAGCCGGTTGGTGACGCCAATCACCCCTCCACACTCCAACTTCCCCACATACTTTAATACTTTTATCTCAGAACATTGGAAGTATGGTAAAATCAACTTAATTCTTTTTTCAATATTATATTAGGCAACAATAAAATAGAATATTAATATATGGATGTTTAAATATGGTAGCTCTCCTCAAGACATTTCCAAGATAACCGGCCGTTATACTGATGATAGAAAAAATGCGATGGTCATTAATAGTTATCTACGAAAGTTCGTTGTATTTGATCTTACAGGTAGGTCAGAGCTGGTTTGAAAAAATTTTTTTCTCATTAACGTATCTAAATTTTTCGATTTGCAGTAATTCTTTGTTTACGATAAAAGCATAAGTCGACTTCAACAACGCATATATAACGATAAATCATTTTGTCAAAAGTGTTGCAAAAGGGTGTTCTGGCCAGGACGGTATCACGTGATTATGAACGATCAAGAAAATGAAATGACTTATTATATTTTTGCTACTTATTATAGATAAAAATAACATAACCGCGAGCTTGCATGGGAGGCAACCAGTGCTTGATCAGGGCACCGGAAGTGGTCGGACCCAAAGCATGCCACGAAAGACAGTAACCACTCCTACTCTTTGGGCTCGCGTTTACTAGCTATCGTTCTCATCATCATTGTTACTGTTATCAGCGGAGCTGGCACGGCCAAAAAATATATTACTGCTACTAGAAAAATTGTTTCTGCTCCCACTGCTAATTACAACGGAGCTATCTTTTTTCTGATTTGTTTATCGAGCCAAGCTTCGATTTTATCCAATGAGGTGCGTTGTGGAGATTTTAATGCTGGTAGAATTTGCGAGTGTGGATGGGCTGAGATCTATTTCTTCGGACAGGACATTGTACATTTACGTTTTTTCTCTTTTTCTCTCGTTAAATATGGCCGTAAATTCGACCCAGAGAGTTTCGATTTTACTAGAATATTCGGATTTGTAGCTCTGTACGGAAGCTTGCCCTAATATGGAATAGAGGATAATGCGGGGTTGAATAAATTTCCTCTATTAATAAATTTAGTTGTACACAAACCATACTTCGAACCTCCATTCTGATTCAGTTGGTTTATTTCGTTACTTAATGCCAAATATCTTGTTTTAAATTTTTTTGTATCGGGATTTATCGTAGCCGAAATTGATGATGGAATTGTGGTAGGAGCTGGAGATATATTTTTTCGGATCGAAACAACAAAATCGCGAGGACGATATAGATTGACATATTTTTCTTGACAACTGCATAAAGCGTTTCCATTGTTAAGAAAACCTCGGACGTATAATTCGCCGATCACGATTACGGCGACGAAAATTGCGATTAAAAAAACATGGAAGTATATTAAGCATTTTGTAATTGATGAATTGGTTAATTGATCAATCAATAGATTGTTTGTCGCGCGATTTTAACGTTACATTTATAAATCAGCAACCCGTGGTATTGGTTCTTCTGCGAATGGTCTTAGATTCAATCCGCGATATTAATATTGGTTCTCTACATTTATAAATCGTACTAATCAAATTACTGGTGATCACCAACCAAAATCGGATATACGTAAAAAGTCAAGGTTCATGGAACTTAATCATGTAATATTAATAATAAGTAGTTAGCAATATAATCCCAATCAGATCAAGTGTTAATTGTTGATTTTACGTTTTTTGAGAACCGTCATAAATAAAGGAATAATAAATATTAATATTGATATACGCAATATATTTGGTATCATTTTTAATATACTGCGCGCGCCTCCTTCCTTTTGTTTTTTACTTTTCACTGACATTACGCTAAAACCGGTGATTAGAAGACATCTTGCCATTGAGGTAAAGAGATAATTCATTCCTCGTTATCATTAATGCGGTTTTTGGGATCCTGAGCAAATAGCAGCAATCACTGCAGGGGAGGGATGTAACATAAACAGTATAAAAATGGATGGGGAAGGAAAAAATTTGGAACAAAAATAATAAGGAGCTCTTTTGAATAGAAACCTGTTAAGAAAGGTATAGCCATCAAAGATAGTGAACCTATCAGCAGCATACACGAGGAAACAACTTATCGAGTAGTTGATACGTCGGCGAATTTGTGTGGGAAGGGTATTCGCCCGAACTTGTCAACAGCGTTAACAATTTCGGTGTCGAAATACGCGAAATCATCATGAGCGTTCGATTCGACCGCTGTGTTACATCGTCGAATGTATATCCGCCTTGTGGTTGCTCGTGCGCGCATCTCCATTTCCGGCGTCCATCCACCAGGAATTATAGAAAAGATGTATAATTGAAACATTAAATACTCAACACACTAAATAAATATATTAATTAATCATTTACAAATAAAGCGTGAATATACTATTTCTACAGACTGCATTTAAATGACGCAAAGTTAAATAGAACATCCATAGCCACCTTCCTATTTTCAAAGGCACATTATCCTTATAACATTCGGAATATCTCAACGCCCACTAACATTCGCTCTCTCTATCCACTCTTTATCGGCAACACGGGTTCACTCATCTTGGGTACTAATTTAGGTTCCCTTATCTTCGCTCCCGATAAGTATTCTGGATATGTAGTTAAAATGTACTCGACCTACACGCGACGCGTTGAAAGAAATAATTAAAATGTTAATATGTCGAATGACTAAGCCAGTAAGGTGAAGAACGCGAGCACAAAGCAATCGCTATAATTCAAGTGAATATACTGTACCAGTTTCTCACGGATTTCGTTTTTAAGTTTGTCGGCTATTTTAACATTAGGAGCTGTCATTGAAGCTTGTAATAATAAAGATGATTCTCTTGTATCATTAATCTATTAAACGTGAACAAATTCTGTTAGAAAAGTTATGTCCGCTATTTCAATTTATTCCACATGTTGATTGCACCTCATTACGGATCACCTCAACTATGGTATATGTATAACTGCACAAATGAAAATTCTTTTCCGAAATTCCAATACTTACTTCCAAACTGCAATCCCGCTTGTCCCAATATTCTGATGCCGCGACCAGAGCACGAAACTTGTTTCTTAGATCTGCTAATGGA